GCGAGGGAGAAGAATACCTTGGCCAGGATGTCCTTTAAGATAACGTACAAAGCGCAATACTGCCTGCCAGTGTTCAACGCGGGGTTGTTGCATGAATTGAGACAAAACATGAACACTATAAGTAAGGTCAGGTCAAGTGAAACATAAGTAAATCAAGCATCCCACAAGGCGACGATAAGAGCTAGGGTTGGATAAGGGTGGCCCAGAAGCCAAAGCCAACCAATGATTTTCTTCACATGGGGTGGAGACCGGTTTCGCCCCAATTAGTCCAACATCAGAGATGATATCTAAAGCATATTTCCATTGACATAACGAAATTCCTGATAAAGATCTCGCCACTTTGACTCTCAAAAAATATTTTAAACGGCCCAAGTCTTTCATATGGAAGCATTTGTGAAGGTATTCCTTAAAGGAATGAATAGTATCACAATTGTTTCCTACAATCACAAGATCGTCAACGTACACTAGAACCACTAATTGCACACCATTTTGGTGAAAACAAAAAAGAGAGTAATCCTTCTAGAATTGTAAAAACCCATACCTGACCAAAGCAGTAGACAACTTTCTGAACCAGAACTAAGGAGCTTGTCGGAGGCCATACAACGACTTCCAAAGTTTACAGACCATTCCGGGTTAATGGCACCCAAAACCCAGGGGAAAGCTTCATATAGACTTCATCGGTGAGATCGCCATGGAGGAAAGTGTTATGAACATTTATCTGGTGGACATCCCAATTTTTACCTGCTGCTACGGCCAAGGTGGTGCGGATAGTCACCATTTTTGCGACAAGGGAATAAGTTTCATTGTAATCCAATCCTTCCCGCTGATGATTCCCAAATATGACCAATCGTGCTTTGAATCGTTCAACCGATCCATCAGAGTTGTACTTGATCTTATATACCCATTTACAACTTAAAGCTTTCTTCCTAGCAGGGAGCTCAACAAGAGTCCAACTGTTGTTGGCTTCGAGAGCTGTGATTTCACGGGACATAGCCTCCCACCAACGCTCATCCTTCATAGCCTATGAGAAGTACAGAGGCTCTTGTTCTATGTGCAAGGCCGCAAGGAAGCCACAGTGTTGATTTGAAAAAAACATCATAATTAACATAGTTATGTATAGAGTAGGACGAACCTGAGGCCGCAGTTGGAGGAGGCGAAAGACGGGATAGGCTGCTTATGGCTGTATGGGTGACAAAGTCTCGAAGAAGGACATAAGGGGTTCTGACACGGTGACCGGGACCCACCTGAGCTGGTGATGATGATGTCGCAGTAGAAGGCACTGAGACTTTTGTGGTGGGTGATTCTGCGAGGGTTTGGTCGAGGGTTGGTGGTGCGTCCTCTGCCACCGTAGAAGCATCCCTAACAGCCGGCCCCAAATCGAGGCCATTGTCCCCTTGTTCCTCATCGCCTGCTGAGTCCAATGCGCAACCCCCCTATCGGCAGTGGTGGGGTTTGTGTGGCTACCTCTTTGGGACAAGATGGAAGCAGTGCTGTCACTAGCCCTTGATATGTGCTCAACTGGGGAATCTTCAATTGGAGATGAAGTGGGGCCAGGATTACTTTTCTCATGAACAATTGGGGGTGTATCAAAAGGAAATATTTCCTCATTAAAATTAACATCACGTGAAACAAAGAAAGTTTCTTTTTCAAGATCAAATAGTTTCCATCCCTTTTGGCCAAATGGATATCCAACAAATACACACTTTTGACTTTGACTATTGAATTTATCTCTTCCTTTCTTCTCCTTGTAGGCATAGCAAATTGAGCCAAATACTCTTAAATTATCGTATGTTAGTGGTTGACCATTTAAAATTTCATATGGTGTCTTTTCTTTGAGTATCAAAGATAGGGTGAGGTTAATTAAATATCCGACGGTCAGGATGCATTCTCCCCAAAATCGAATAGGAAGATTACCTTGAAATCGCAATGAGCGAGCAACATTAAGAATATGCCTATGTTTACGTTCCACCCTACCATTTTACTGTGGTGTTGCGGTGCAAGAAGTTTGATGGATAATGCACTGTTGAAAGAAATGTTGTTTAAGGCACATAAATTCAGTCTCATTGTCAAACCGGGCAATTTTAACACGTTTGTTGAATTGACGTTCAACGAGAGTGATAAAGCTTTTAAGCATATCTGCTACTTCTTTCTTTTCCTTTAGTAAATATATCCAAACTCCCCGAGAGCAATCATCAACGATTGTTAAAAAATAAGAAGCCCCACATGATGATTGTGTTCTGTATGGCCCCTATGTATCATAATGGATTAAATCAAAAATGTTTTCAGGATGATGATTACTAGCAGAAAAAGGTTTACGCACTTGTTTAAATCTCTCACAAATATCACATATTTTATTCAACTAATCACTTTTACATTTATCTGGCAAATTGGGAAGCATCCTAACAATTTTGATAGATGGGTGTCCCATCCTCTTGTGCCAAAGCTCTAACCCATTATTGACACCCATATGAAGAGCTCAAGCTTTGTCCACCCGTTAATACCAATAGAGCCCATCCTTTCGTTCACCCACTCTAATCATCATCCTCGAAGTGCAATCCTGCATAACACATAATTTGCTAGTGAATTGTACTATACAATTTTCTTCATCTTCTATTTAAGAAACAGAAATTAAATTGCATCTTAATTTTGGTACATATAGGACATTTTTCAATCTTAGTCCTCCATCAAGGACTACAATTCCTTGCTTACAGGCCACCACTTCTTCCCCATTTGGCAGTCCCATAGGACAACCTTGAATCATTTTCTTATCACACAGAATTTGTAGTGAACCTATCATGTGGTTGAAAGCACCACTATTAATAATCCATGAAGCCATAGTTTTCTTACTGGGCATTGTTTCGTTTGACTTTTTGGAATTCACCATATCCATTAATACCTGCCACTGTTCATTGGTAAAACTTGTCATGCTTTGTCTCTTTTCTGCCATTAATATCTGAGTTAGCTCGGACCACATTTGCCCAAACACTTCCTTTGGCTCAATTCTCCTGTTGTCCTCATCCTCTTCCACCACTACCTTTCTCAGTTTTTGGGTGGTCCCCCCACCAATCGAGATACCCAATCAATTGAAAACATCCCTTGATGTCATGCCTATTTTTTCTACAATGTGAGCAGATCGCAAATTTCTCTGTATGATCGTTGCAGTTCCTTCCAGTGTTTCCGGTTTGGACCGAGAGCCCAACGACCATGCCTCCTTCTTCCTCTGAGTGAGCAATGTTTTTCACTCGCTCCTCTTGCACCATCATGGCATACACGCGATTCAGAGGGGGTAAGGGATCCATGGCTAGTATGTTTGATCTCATTGTCCCATAATTAACATGGTCCAAACCCATTAAGAACTGGTGAACCTTTTCTTCTTCTCTTTTCTTCTCAAATTTTGATGAGACTCTACAATTGCATCCCCCGCACGTGCACTCAAGTATTTGTTCGTGGTTTCCCAGTTCATCCAAAGGACCTTAAGCTTTCCATAGTAAGCCATCATGGACATACCTTCTTGCTTGCAGCTATATAATTCTGCCTTTAACTACTGCAATCTTGGTCCGTTCACAACTAAAAATCTTTCTTTGATTTCAATCCACAATATCTGTGCATTCTCCACATACGCCACCATGGATTGTAGTGTTGGTTCGATCGTGTTGAGAATCCATGAGACAATCATGGATTAGACTATCCACCAATCTTCCATTTGAGTTGAATTCTTTTCAAGTTCTTGATAGGTTCCATCCACGAAACTCCACTTTCGTTGAGCTTAGAGCAAGATCCTTATTGCCTTGACCCATTCATCATAGAGAAACTGGACTTGAGTGATAATATTTCCAAGATTGTCACTAGCATGAAGCTCAAATGGGAAGTAATTTTTCTTCAATCCTTCTTCTTCTTATTATTATAAATGTTTATTTTAAATAATAAATATTATAAAATAAATAACATGGCAATACCACATTACAAAAGAAAGAGAAAAGTTGACAACAAAGACTACATCTTAACTTCTTAATATTTTAAAGACTAAATCTTAAAAAAAAATTATAAAAACTTATCACAAAACGTATTAACTTTGCAAGGACCAAAAATATAATCAAGTCTATTTTCATTTATAAATTTCTAATGTCTTGTTTCTAAAATAAAATAAATAAATAAATTAATATGATTGGTCTTGATTTATGTAATGTTTTATTACAAAGATATATAAATTACTCTATCATTTATATGTTATAAATTATAAAGTTACTAATTTAATTATACTATTTAGAATACAATATTATCCTATGTTTTATTTCAATAAATATTTTCTTAAATTTCTTTATTTTTAAAATCAAAATATTTTTATATGTATAATATTAATACATACATTACTTTGTCATTCAAATGTAATAAAATCATATAGATAAAATTTATCATATTTTATTAACAATTTCTAATAGCAATGTATGGCTTACTCCATCGTAAAATCGTGAGTCATAATTTAGTTATACTATCCAATATCCTACACATGTTAATTATCTTAAATTTCAAATAAAAAGTAAAAAATCATAATTTCTCCGCTACATTGCAAAATATGTATAAGAGCAAGAATCAAAACACGGACAACCCCATTATTTTAATATTTATTTATTTATTTTGGTTTAAAAAGAACAAATAAAATATTAAATTTACGAATGAAATGAAACTTTAATTTTACACAAGTTAATTAGACATAATTAAACTATGAAACTTAGATCTGATGTTGTTTTAGATTTTTACATATTTTTTTATAATTGTGATAGCGACTCCTTCGATCTTTCTTTCTACTCTTTTCTCGTTTTCAATATTCATCATAGTTTATTTTTTTCCCATCGTGGCGGTCTGTTGAGCAGGACTGTATATATACATAATGTGGTGAAGGATTATTTTCTATCTACACACAAGCAGTGATAAACCGCAAAATATATGAAATGCCCCACCAGCTCCAATGAAACAGAAGTAATCGCAATAGTGAAAAGTGTTCAGTGGGAGGTGCGGACAATGTTCAACGTTGTATCCAACTTACGAATATGAAATTCTTCTGATGCATATTCATCAGCGAACTCAAAATAACTTGCAGGAATTTCCCCAGCAGTCAAAGATGCTACACAGTCAAACTGTCGTGGAAAGGCCATCCACTTCGAATCAGATCCATGTTCAAACATTAGCGATATATTCTGTCAAATTAAATGAAAACTTGAATACCTTTTGTTGCAAGTATTTTTCTCGTACTCCTTGTAAAGGGCTTCCTTTGATAGTCGAGTGCATCGCTTGTATAGCCAGGACACATTCCTTAAGGTCACATGGTTTATATCCTGTTTGGCATAGTAACGCTAGGTGCTGCTTGACAAGGGGGAAAAAAGAAAAGCGGTCACTGCTAATGGGAATTTAAATGCATAAGATTAATTTATGCATTTGTGTTCTTATATCTTAAACTTGCACAATTTGACCATCTCAGTTCAACACCCGTTATGACCGTAGTTATATTTCTGACAGGGTGCCCTACCTTGCAACTAATCAATGAGATAATCACGTATTATTATTGCAAGGGGAATTTGACAGTGCCCCATTACAAGTTAATGAATTAAAGTGAAATTGGAGTATTTCGTACCCAAGGATGTTTGGTTGGTTGGATTATAAACCTGGATAGAAATAATGCGGACGCTGCAGCCACGGACGGTAAGAACTTAAGGCACTTATAGTCTAGTAGGCATAACTCCAAAAGATAAGAAGCCAAGAATTCCAGTTGCTGCTTGGAATGCTGCCACGGAGTATAAACATGAAAGAATCATATCAGCGGTAAAGTAAGTGACTTAATTAGTTAAAAGGGGAAATTCAATTGAGAGTACCACAAAATTTTTCTGAGCAGCTTTGATACAAATTCTGCCATCAGCATAAATTGTGAAGCGAGTAAGTAGCAGAATTAGAAAAGGAAACATGCGGTGTTGTTATGATACATATAAAGAAGCAAAATTAGTTGCCTGAGAAAAGTTTTAGCGGTGGGATGGCCCAAGTCGAAGTTCAAGGAGGTGAGGAGCTCCCTCTCCATGCGCGTAACCTCTGCGAGGGTGTAAGTGTTATCTGTCATATAGCAAAAGTCCTCGGCATGTGGAGGACTGATCTCTTCATATTTGCTGTTAATTAATAATAATTACCTTAGATTAGTATAAATAATATATAATATAAATGATGGATTAGTATTAATACTTACGAGGCAATAAGCAAGGAAGAAACCCCGAGAAGTTGAAGGTGGTTAGTGTTGATAGGACGAGTAGATAGGAAGCGATCGATGCAAGATACAGCAAGATAAATGGTATCAGAAGTGAGGTTGTATTCCTGAGCAACCTCCATTAACCAATCCACCAGAATCCCTCTCATCTTCTCTGAAACATCTCTCTGAACTGTCTCCGTATAATTCGCCACTGGCCTTCTATTCACCTCCATCTGAATCTCAACGAATTACCAATCCCCTAACTTACTAACATTTCCTTCATTAATACGAATCAATTCATGCAGTTTGTTACAGACATACCTCCAAGGCGCGAAGATGCTTGTAGATGGAAGAAGAGGAAGAGGCCTCATTGCACTTCTGCATCATCTCCGTCTTCTCCTTCGTTGTGCTATTATTGGTGAGATCGCCGAGCACTATCCTCTTCTTCGCCGCCGGTAACTCTGCCGGCTGGTTCAACTGCCGTTTGAAGTTCTCTTGTTGACCCATGCCAGACTGAAACGGATTCTTTGTTCTTTATAAATGCTAACTGGGTTTCAATTGATGCCGCCTCTAATAAATTAATGAAGCTTAGGATTTTAATTTTTTTCGTTATGAGCAAAATGCCGCCATTTTCATCGGTTCAAAATCTCCATGCCGCGCTCTACCATGCTTCATACATATCTCACCGACCCTAAAATTATTTAAAAGGAAAGAAAATGTCTATATGCCATCCCTATCAACTAAAATGTCATAAACAAAAACAATTAAATTTATTTCTATTTCACATGTTTAAACATTTTTTTGAGGTGAGCATTTTCAAATAAACTTTTACTTATACTGGACTTTTATCTGTCTCTACATGTTCACATATGAATTTTTATTCATAAATAAGAGTACTTGTAAAAATTATTCTCTTTTTTTATTATTATGTTATGTTTCATACATTAAATATATGTTTTTTATTTGGTAATTAATATATGATTTTTTAATTCATTTTTAACTTAACTTCTTAAAAAGTTTAGAAACTTATCTCGCTAATTTAATCATATTTATTATACTAAAATATTTATTATTTTTGAGAATAAAATATTCAATTTTTTATAATTTATACTTTATTAACTTAAAAATAATTATGCATTTAATTTTTATTAAAAATATTTTAATTTAATAATAATCGTGCTAATTACAAACTACTCACTAGTGTTATACAAAATAGAGAAAAAAAAAAACCAGTGATACACAACAAAGTCACAGTTGTACTACATTTTAGAGTGATAGCTTTTTCATTTACCTACTACGAGTTTTCATGTTAAAAGAAAAGGAAATGTTAAATAAGGTTTATTGAAGTAATAGTTAAAAATAAAAAATAACAAAAAATTCATTAAAAAAATTATCATCTCCTCTTTTATGGAATTAATTGTATTGTTTATACATAATCATTAATTGTCCTTATTGAGACTTTACGAAATAAATTTATGAAATTTGATATTTCGAAATAAATTATTCATTAATATTTGGTAAAAATACAATTAAATATTAAAGGGAATTTATTACTTAAAATAAGTGTAAATAATATTAATGCCAAAATATTTTGTCAATTAATGCATTTTCTTAAATAAGTATTGAGTAAAATTATGAAATATTAAAATCATGAAATACGCCGACCATATGGTTTTTAGGGTCAATTTTAATCAAAGCCTTTTTGCCCTTTCTTCCAAGTTTATTATTATTATTATTATTATTATTATTATTATTATTATTATTATTATTATTATTATTATTATTATTATTATACAAAATTTATAATTTTATTAATTTTATCAAATTTTTACACATTTCTTGGCATTATATTTAAATTTTATTTCCATTAATAAAATTAGTAAATTGTGTATAGTTAGGAATAGAGATTGAATTATTTAATTAGATGAAATAACTACAAAAATAAAGTTTTAACACTAAAATCTAATTGAATAAATGGTAATAGATGTTTAAAATTGTCTTAAAAAGTTAAATATAAATTATTCTAATGATTTTAAGCAATTAAAAACTTAAAATCTTAATCACAAAAATATTCATACAATTGTGTTTACATTTTTCTTTCGAAGATTAAACATATAATTATACGAGTTCTTTTTAAAAGATAAAGATTCGATCTCTCTCTTGTTATTTTTAATTAGGAAACCCATGTCAAATATAGTTAAAATATACAGCCTCAGAATAAAGAGTTATCCTTGTGTTTTTTAATATATTTGAACGTATATTCTTCATTCATGTGATTTCTTTGCTCTATTTGCTACTCATTCTTGTTTGTTTGTTTTGGTAAGAGGAATCTTGTGATATTAGTATTTGTTATTTAGTCTATGTGAGCATAAAGCACATGATTTTCAATCCTATGTATTACGCACGTAAGGAATGCACTTATCTTTAAAGAAAAATTTAGTAAATGTGTTTACGCATCAATGAATAGGAATGTTAAGATATATCTATATCTGCATCAATATATATATATATATATATATATATATATATCTTAAACTTATTATAATTTTTTAAAATAATTTTTAATTAATTATAAAAAGTGTATTTAAAATAATAAATAAATATTTTTATTAATTAATACTTTTCGTTTTATGTTACATGTTTCTTTAAATAGTTTAATTTAAAGAAACATAAACGTTACGTTAAATAATTGAAAAAATACCTTTTTTTCTGATATACTTTTATTTATTGATATCTCATCTAAATTTTTGAATAAATTTATAACTATATCTTAACTCTTTAAATAAGGTATTTTAATCAAAAATATGTATTTTATTGTAATAACTTTTATAATTAATATTTTTCTTAAGAAGGATACAACAATTTAAAAAGAAAATATTATGAGACGAAATGAGTACTTTTTTTTTTTTTTTGCTATTGAAATGAGTACCCTTTGTTGAATTATTTTTATTGATTATATATAATGCATTAACTGTCCTTTAACTGTAAGTGATAAATTTATTAAATTTTATAATTTTAATTTTTAAAAAATGAAATATCCATTGACCAAATAAAGGCAATAAATAGAATATTAAATGTCATTTATTTACTAAAAAAGATGTGTAAATATAATGATAAAAATTTCTATATTCAAAATAATATCATGCATTTATTGGTTAGGAATGAAAAACAGTTTTCTTTTTCACTCAAGTGTTAATTTTAATTAATAAATATCAATTTTTTTAATGTGTACAAAATTGTATAGAATAAGAATTCATATATAATATTCTTTATAAAAAAATTTAATATTCAATAAAATTTAATACACTTATATTATTAAATGCAGTAATTTTTCTAAAAATTAATTGCTTATTAATATTTATCATGTATAATTTTAGAAAAAAATATAATTTTTTACAGAAAATATATATCATAATATTGTTTTAGGCGTTAACATATATCTTAGATAATATATATATATATATATATATATATATATCAAAGAAAATGGCTTTATCCTGCCACAACTACGAGTGGTTTTAGTACTAAAAAAATAAAAAAAATATGTAAAGATAACAAATATTGTGTAAATGAATCTTTCAATTTTTAACTGCATGATATAATCCAAAGCTAAAGGGGCTTTGTTGATGCCATGTCATGCATGGAGAACAACGGTTGCGGATCAATGCCATCAACATTAAACCCTAAAACCCGAGGCGCCAATCCAACAGTATCTTTCCTTATTTCATATCAACAAAATAATCTCTCATTAATGTCTTCTCTCTCTAAGCCTTGCAGTTTTGAATGCGGATTTTAGTAACAATAAAACAATCAAACAAGGGATGGATATATATATTCCCATTCTCAATTAGCACATTCAATCTAATTCCAAACACCACTATCTCTATCTTTGATATCTCGTTTTGTCTCTATCTTTGGGACAACTAAATCCCTTATTTTCTTTTCGCTTCTCTATCCATGGAGGCTGAAGGTGCACAACAAGACCTTAGAAGCTTCCTCATCGCATCTCCTTCACCTGAAATCAAAGATGTTGATGCAGCACTGTTCAGTAACCACACTCATCCATCGGTTCCCCGAAACTCGCAGAACCCTAATTGGCGGAATCCAATTTCTGGTGGACTCGAAGACCTTGCATCTTCCATGGGGAGACTTAGTTTGTCCCCTCCTGTCCCTTTGTTCGTGGATCAAGCTAGCTCGCAAAGGTTCAAGTTTGCCGATACAGGGCAATTCAGTGTCAATAACACTTTGCAAGATTCCCTTTGTCTTCCCAATCCCTCGATGGGTACTATTAATTCCTGTGTATCGCATAACGGGATTAGACGACTAGGCTCTCATGGTCACTATGAGTTGGACGCTGAACAATTCCTCCAGCGTCGTAGTTTCAGTTCCCTTGAGGATGTGAAGGGACAAATGGGTTCGCTGGCACAAGTCGATCAACGTGGGTGTCTTTTGGGGAAGCCGGCGGTAATTGAAATGATCCTGTGGCAAGTCAAGGATCATTTTTGCGACCTAATGATGGATCAGCATTCTAGTTACTTAATTCAAATTGTTTTTGAAGCCAGCAGCGTGGAACAGAAGACCAGGATTCTTTCCTTGGTTATTCGAAATGAGCACAAGCTTAAGGAAGTCTGCATGCATAACCATGGGTACCACTATATTTTAATATTACTTATCTTCTTGATATCTGGGCGCATGTAATTAAAATTGAAGTTTTCGTTGTTGAATTTTAATTCTTGTATGCTACAGGACTCGGTCTATCCAGAAGTTTCTGGAGCATCTCAAAACCCCAGAACAGATATCTACAGCTGTATTTGCTTTGAAGCGGATCACTGTCAGATTAAGTAAAAGCATCAATGGGGGTTATGTTATTCAACAGTGCTTGAAACTTTTCTCGCCTGCGCTTACAAAAGTAAAGCACGCTGCTTCCCTATCTTAATTGTATGCATATTCTGTTCCAAATGATATTGAAATTTTATATATTAGCTGACATAGAATTATTCTTGCACTTGATCATACTGATTAACAATCGTAGCTATCATCATAGAAGATCACTTTTTGCCTCGTTTCTGTACTAAGTTTTGGGAATCATTGTGGTATTTTTTCTTGAATAAGTCTCAGTTTCACGGTATTTAGTATATACTGTAGTTTGAAATCCCTTTAGTCTCTGTTCCCGACCTGCACCTATCAAGTTATCACCAGTATGTTTCTTATTTGAAGCTAGAGAACACCCATCAGTCTGCTAATTGGTTTTGTATTTTTTAAGTGGCATCACATCACATCACTTATTTAATACTTATGTTTAACTTATAAACATCCTGTGTTAACATTTATTTAACGTTTATTTAACAATTCTCTTTTTTATTTTTTCCAGTTATCGCTTATTACATTTATTGTCTCTTTTTCTTTAATTCTTCTCTTTCACTGGGTGTAAATACTTCTTGAAATGTCTATTAATCATCTCTCACAAAATATTATTTGTACTACTAATTAGGAACATTTTTATTGAGTATCTCATATATTTAATATATACTTTTAGGATACATATATACAGAAAAATAAAAATAATGATATACAATATCAATTTTTAGTAGTTTGAACAACCGAACTCTAATATATTGGTTTATGTCGAATGTTACATTGAGACTGAATATTCTTGCGTGAAACCATCCTTTCAGTTTATTCTAGATGAGGTAACAAAGAATTGCGTTGAAATTGCATCGGACAAAAGCGGATGTTCTCTTTTCCAAAAATGTCTTCATCATGCTAAGGGAGATGCCATGAGGCGGTTGATTGAAGAAATAGTTTCGTATGCCTTGGTCCTTGCAGAACATCCTTATGGGTTTGTTGTGTTCAACTCTTGAGCTACATTTTCTTTTAATTGCAAATAAGCTATATTTCGTTCATTTAAATCTTAACTGTTCGATATATTATTCTACAGAAATTATGTTGTGCAGTATGTTGTCAAAATGAAGATAGCCCAAGTAAATTCAGCGATCATATCACGACTTCGTGGTAAATACGTTCAACTATCTATGAACAAGCATGCTAGCAACGTGGTAGAAGACCTCTTAGAATTCTCAGAAGAGAGTGATGCTGCTATTATTGTTCAAGAGATAATGTACAACCGTAACTTTTTGGGGATTCTCCAGGATCCTTATGGGAATTATGTTGTCCAAAGAGCACTGAAAAATTGCAAGGTTATACATAACTCACGACCCGTGTGCGCGCGACAATTGTCTTTCTTACATGCTTTGTATTTGCACATTCTGCTTTTAACCATGTGCTTGATTTGCTTTGTCTTTTTTATTATTATTATTGCAGGGCACTCTTAACAAAATACTTTCAAGTAGCATTTTGTCTAATTACCCACATCTGCACAGCCATCTTTACGGGAAAAGAGTTCTGGCATTTGTTAAAGCACGCAAGATCTGTGTATGAAGGCGTGCATATCTACAAAGAGCTTGGCTATTGTTCATGTAATTTGTATGTCTTTGGACTCTATGTTTGTTGTGAGTAGCTAATGTATGCGACTATTTGCCAATAGCAATTTTTCTGATGTTGTCACCGGATTTTCTAGTGTAACTCTATGTTTGTTGTGAGGGAAAAAAATAAAGAATGGAGAGGAACTCTAATTCCTAAGGCCAAAACACCAAAATAATCAACAAAACGAGATGTCGTATTTCCATTGGAGGCACCCTCATCAACATAAGAGAACCAAATCTAGCCTCAAAATTTTTCGCTGGGGTATCAGGTCTGTAACTCGCTACCCTTGTTTGCTGAAACTTGCCATTTTGTACGCTGCAAAATTTCGATATATAATGGCTATACCAGTAAAAAGAGTTGAAATTCCTCATATCATATGTCAACAGAAGAACATCCTCCATTAAACCAGTTACCGCTTAACCGAAAACTATGCAGCAAGATTTATGATTAATGATTTAAATAAGAAATCACGTGTGAAAGAAAAGAATTCTCTCGTGGACGAAATTTAATTCCAATATTTAGATATTAAATATAATCCCATGGGCTCTCCCAGCTATTTACACTCGCTTCGTGTGCTTAACGAAGGTTGGTTGTGTACGGTAAAGATGAGGTGCTTAGAAAAATATGATTAAAATATATGTTTTTATTTCCTCACAAATGTTTTTTCTTTGTTTCATTTTAAATTTTAATTTAACTTCTATAAAAAAAAATTCTTATAATTTCTCTTTAATCTTATGTTAATTTTGATTATTAAGAGTGTTTATGGGTTGGGGGTTCTTGATATAAAAATTTACCAAATCTGTATAAATTAATCTTTTTTGTGTATAAAAAAATTGATTTTAACTATTTTTGCTTTTCAAGTCTTGGTTACGCCTTAATTCAATTATTTCAGTATAGTGCATATTTTGACATTGTTTAATATTTGAATTATAAATTAGGCTATAGATCTTATTTTAATGTTATTTTTGTTTTGTAGAAAAGTTAAGATACGAGCCTACAACTTTTGTGAAGAAATCAGAAGCTAAATCCTAACATCTAGAGCTAGAATTGGGCCTAAACTGGAAAAGAAAGAAAGCAAATGTGGATCCTGACCAGTGTGCAATATTTGAGTCATATCTTGATCCACAGACATCTAATTAGACCCATTCCAATGACAAGATAAGACCTCCCCAACTATACTCTCACCTATGCAAGAAGGGATCTTGCTTAGGCGAGATGAGCTTGCTCAGGCGAGGAGTCGCAGGAAAAATGGGAGACTCTCTGAACCCATTCTCGCCCAAGCAACGATGCTACTCGCTTAGGCAAGATGTCTCTCACTTAAGCAAGAATAACAAAAATTTGGGTGGTTTCACTCTCTAGTTTTCTTGCCCAGGCAAGAGCAGAGCTCGTTTAAGTGAGAGTTGACTCGCTCAAGCGAGAGTGCGCAGACCTGAAGGGGTCTTTAAGGAGCTTCTACACAGAAAACATTCATTTCTGATCACCATACAACTTTCCCTTCTCATTTTCTCTCTATTCTCTCACCTTCTCCCCTTAGAGAAAACTTTCTTGAAGCTGAAACTTCTTCCCAATCCAAGTGGGAACATCTATTTAGTGCGAATCTAAGTAAGTTTCTAAGATTTGGTTCTCCTATTCTACTCTTTATTCCTCGATTTCTCTTCTCAAGGGTCTCTATTTCATGATAATTGGGAGATCTGAGTACCTTGGGCTTTGTTTCTCTCTTGGGAATCATAAGGATTTTGATCTAAGATAACTCGTTTCTAGGCACGGGGAGCTTAATTTAGTTGGCCTTATTCATTCATTAATTAGATGTTTGATATGTGTGTGTGTGTGTGTATGTGTGTGTGTATAGGGACAGGATCTTTTTATACCAATGTAAGTCTAAAAACTCTTACACCCAAATGAGTCTTTCATTTAACTTAAATCTAATAGCTAGTGAAATAATAAATTATAATCCCTTAGATTTAAGTTAAATAAAAGGTTTAGATTGGGTGTAAGAGTTTTTAGACTTACACCGGTGTAAGAAGATCTTTCCCTATATATATAACCTTTTTATGTCTCTTAGTATTATAAATTTTTCTAAGGTGTTGTTTGATTTATAAAATTCTTTTTGACATTTTTTTAAAACAATTCTAAAATCATGTGGATGCATTATTAAAGTAATATTGCCAAATTCATCAATATAATACGGCATTATGAAAAAAAAATAATGATATATTGAAACTTTGATAAAACTTACAATATTGTAATACAAACTTCTTGCAAACTTCTCAGAAAGACGTGAAGACTATAAGAAGGTTTTCTTAAAACTATTGAGGGTAGGATTTTTGCTCGTGCTTTCAAATGAAGCGGAGCTTACAATTTATAGCAAGAAAATTACTATTCTAAGATTCCTTCAAATAATAATTTCTTCTTTTGTCAAATCTTCTTTTTCTTCATGTCGAGTCTTTTGTTTTCTTTTGTCAAATAATTTCTTCTTTTGTCAAGTATTCTTTTTCTTTATGTCGAATCTCCTTTTACTTTTGTCAAGTCTGTTGTCTTTTTGTTACTATAGAGAGATTCCATAGCAATCATCTTCATTATCAAAATAGCCATAGTCATCGTCACCGGCTGGATTGAGGCTTCTTCTGTTGTCCTTGTCAAAGGATATGCTTGTAACCTCTGGAGATATAGTTTCAATGATTTTCTTGAATTCTTCTTCACTTCCAGCTGTACTCAAACTAGCTAGAAATCTTGCTTTTTGTTGTAAGAAGACCTGCTTTTGTTTATCTTTTATTACATTCTCACTTAGAGGAGGATGTTGGATATTATTTTGTACCCATTGTATAATTTTCTCGGTGGTAAGTAAATCCAAGTTAAAATTGATCCACCATTTAACTTTTATGGTCCTAATTAATAACTGTATTGATGAATCATATTCCAACTTGGCATAATCATATTGCCACATCATGATCCATGAAATGCCTTGTGAGGCTATAAAAGAAATAAATTTATATGGTTCTTGAAAATTAGTTTTTTCTTTAAAGTGTGTTAAGGCAATTTGGGCTCTTTCTGGTAGGATCTGACTAACTGGTCCAAAATTATGGAACCAGGCTGAGAACCATTTGGGAAAATATAGAGAAATTCCCTTCTTGAACCAAATGAACCAGGAATGGGTATCTGGTCGAAGAAATAAAAACTTCTCCCATGCTCTTATATAATCAAAATAATTATATTGTGAAGGCTGATATTCTATTGCAAATTTTCGATAACAGTATAAATGTTGTCCCCACTCTTTTGGAGTGAGTATCTGACATATTTTGAATTTTGAAAAAATGATTTCTCTTTTCTCATTTTTCTTATGGGTTAATTCTATTGATTTTGAATCGATAAGAATTAACTCATAAAATTCTCTTTTTTGTTCTGATGTTGATGGAACCACATGACAATCTTGAGGGAAAACTCTTTTTGCTATTTCAGAACGGTTCCATTTAAACCATTCTGCTTCTATTTCCATTATTGAAAGACCATATGGTTTTTCAAAGTATTATGGGGTCTTATCAGTTATTGTGGGCTTTTTGTAAGCAGATTCTGCTCATGATGGTAATTTTCTAGTTTGGGTAGTAACTGTTTGAGAGTTTTGGTTTGGTTTAGCTAAAACTGTATACTGTTTGGTTAACTCCGGTGGTTGGATTTGAGCTTTATTTTGTAGTACTTGTAAACAAGTCATTGGCTTTTTACCTTTATCTCTAGTAAGAGTCTTTGGTATTTCTGGTTCACTCTTTTTTGGTAGGACATAGTCGGCACTGGTCATTTTTGACATTTTTTCTGTAAAAATTCTCTTGTTAAATAATCGGGTAAAAAGTTTTTTTCTCCTTTGATGTGTTGTATCTCGAAATCAAAATTAGATAATAATGCTTGCCATCTGGCGAAAATATGTTTTGAAACTAAATTCTGAACATCTTTCTGTAAAACAGAAGGTGCTGCTTTACAATCAGTTCTTACTAAAAACCTTTTGTTAAATAAATCATCTTGAAATTTTTGGATGCATAAAACAATGCTCAAAATTTCTTTTTGTTGTGCAATATGTCATATTCCTGAGTAATATCTTATAACTTGTTCTATTGTAGACTCTGGTAATTTTTGTTTAAGAATTCCTCCATAACCTAGATCTGAAGCATCAATTTCTACAATCAAATAGGCGGAAGGATATGGAATTCCTAAACAAGGGAGACTTTTAACTAATATTTTTGCTTGTTGTACTACTTTAGTCATTTCTTTATCCCATGGCTGGGGATTCTTCCTAAGACGTTTATATAAAAGGGCACATATGGTTCTAATATTTGGTAAAAAATCTGCTACATAGTTTAAACATCCTAAAAACCTTTGTAATTGAGTTTTGTCTTTTAATTGGTCCAAAAATTTGTCAGCAAATTCTATAGACCTTTGGATTGGTGTTATTGTACCTTGATAAATATTAAACCCTAAAAATCTTATTTTGTCTTGAAAATTTTTTATTTTTTTAGCTGATATACATAACCCATTTTGTTTAATTAATTCTATATATTTATTTAAGTGTTGTATATGTTGAATGATGCCTTTTGAAAAAATTAATACATCATCTAAATAAACTATTGAAAAGTTCATATAAGGATAAAATATATTGTTCATAATTTCTTGAAACTCACTTGGGGCATTTTTTAGTCCTTGAGGCATTACATTCCATTCAAAATGTCCAAATGGTACTACAAAAGCTGTTTTATATCTATCTTGTTCTTTTACAGATATTTGGTAATACCCTGATTTCATATCAAATTTTAAAAATATATTGGCATTAATTAATCTTTTAATTAAATCTTGTTTATTAGGTATAGGATACCTAATCCATTTTAATACTTTATTTAAAGGTTTGTAGTTTATTACTAATCTTGGAGCTCCTCTTTCTTGTTCTGAGGCTTTATTTACATAAAACCCAGTAC